CGCCCACTCAAGAAATATAATGACCAAGTGTAGAAGGACCTGACTGCACTCGGTACTTATGAACAACTGGCGCCGATTCGAAAAGGAGAGATGCAATTGGCGAAATCTTTTGGTCCCGGCCCAAACCGACAAACAGTTGTAGTGCTAAATAAGAAGAAGAAGTAGCGTTTTTGTACAGATAGGATGTTTTGAAATCTATTTGGGGGTTGAAGTAAGTCTAACCCGATCTGTTTGATGCCTCCTAGATCAGCTAAGCTTTCAAACGTTGTCGTTATATAACCCCAGAAAAGGCCTATTTTGACCAGAGGGAGAGAACGGAGATATCCCAAGGCAATTGAACTTTTTCCTCAGCAATGTACCTTGGATGAGTGCAGTTTTAAAAAACATTTAAAATTTGTTTATACTTCAATCTAAGAATATGAAAAATAATCAAGCGCGGACTTTAGTATAGATTTTGGCGAGGAAAAATCAATATCTAATGCTCTTGAAACGTTATTAGACTCCTTTAAAGATTGGAAGGAAAGAAAACGCAAGACTCTGTGGGGAACATAGAAACCTATCTGGTTAAGGAGACCAGGGCAATCAATGCCCACAGAGATCAGATTAGAAACAAACATTAGTCACTGAACAGTTCTTCTATTTTCTAGCGAGTTCAGACTAATAAGTTAAGAGGTCGAAGAGCAAAACGAATGAATTTTCTTTGAACTCTTTTAATTCTACTGGCACGACAGCTCTAAATAGGGTTCCAAATAATCTAAGCGTACTCTAATTTTAAGCTAGTGCAGAATTTAATTCAGCGGGGCAGACATACATGTAGGTGGCGTTAAGTTAGCCTTCTTTTCATGATGGTCAGGTGTTTGTTATTTCAAGACATAGTCTTGTAGTGGAGGCTAATGGATGTGGGCTAATGTGCATCTCGGCCTGCCGGTAAGTCAAGTTTCCAGCGCCATGTTTTGGCTACTTCTGAGGTTAAGATGTATTCGCTTCGCATTGCAGGTTGTACGGACCTTAAAGTATGTACTTAGGAGTTTTCGGAATGTACGCGAAGTATCCCAATAAAAATTTAGAGTTAAATCCGATGTTGTATCTACCACTACCTAATGAAATTTCTCAAAATATGGCCTATATTTTAGCAGTCAGATTTAAATAAGTCGGCACATAGACCGAGGAAACTCAGACATGTCGGTGACTAGTTCGGACTATTTGTAGACTCCTTCATCGCTTTCTATAAGAAATCCAAAGTTGTGTTACCAACACGGATTGATTCACCAAATGTCTGATGGCATAAACATTTATGTACAGATATACTATAGTAGATGATCTAAACCTGAAGGGAAAGTGGGACTCTGAATTGACGCTAGAGACATATTTTCGACTTCCGGATTAAGTACTGCAGCATAGGTATTTCAATCGTAAGTGCTTGGCCATCTAGAACGCAACACAGATTATTTCTTAAAGACTTATCTATCATCTTCTCTACGAAGTCAATCAACTCTGGAACAACCGTCAGTTCTTATAAAGGAAAACCGTATTTCCCTTAAGTTTAAACAGAAAAGAAATGTCCTTCATTATAAGCTCAGCCAGTTGTTAACCCACTGAAGTTTGAACCTTGTTCTTTGATTGTTCCACAGTATTTTTAACTTGAGCATTGTCAATTTGTTTTTTAAGCTTGATCATTCAGTGGAATCATGAATTTGTAAAAAGTTGAAGAAACTTTTGTATGGTTTTTTAAGGATTTAAGGTGCAGTCAATACTGTTGAAAGTGCAGTATGAGGGTGATATGGCTGTCCGTTATTGGTGTTACTGTAAGAGTTAAATGGAGCTTAAAGATCAGAGAAAAAAGGATTGTTACTTGTATACTAATTAAATTTGTAATAGATTAATTGGAAATTTATGTTATAATTTTAACAGGTGCCGAAAAGGTTGGCATTGTTATAATAAAACTAATTATTTGAGTGTTGAAATTGGGATTTTTCGACCATAATTTATCGTTATGCAACCATTATTTCCAGTTTAAATTTGTTCGATCATAATCAACTAAAAACTAACCTTAGTACCCTAAAGTAATCTTAACCCGCATCCATCGTTTGTATCAAATTGATGCAAATTTCGAAAACATATTAAAATATTAAGAAAAATAGTTCATGTTTTGAACTGGTTTTTTTTTGCGATAAATGCGTATAGATCTTTCAAGAATTTTTATTCTTATTATCAGAAAGTGAATAAACTAACGTTGGTAATTAATAAAAAATTAAACAAACTCCAAACATTTCATATCTTTTTCCATATTTATCAAATTTATGCACAACGTAATTTGTGTTATAAAAAATTCCCGATGGATGCGGGTTTCACGGCTTTGAAATTATCAATAATAATGTTCTGAAGGCAGTGTCCACACGATTGCTACATTGGGCGATTGGTACAAAATAAAAAAATTGGGCGACAATTTTTTTTTATAGTCACACGGTTGGTACAATACAGCGAACTTCTATGGAAAAATTTTAATAAATAATTTTTCGGGATTAGGATAAAGAAAAATATTTGTGTATTTACACGATTGGGATAAGATGTGCTCCAAACATCGTACAGTTCCATAAGTAAAGTTACTCTTCTTCTTACTGTTTTTTCTGGCAGGCTGTAGGTGTGTCTTTGGTTAGTGTATTGGTGTTTTTGGTTCAGTGTGTTAGTGTATTTTGAATAACCCTGCAGCAATAAGGCGTAAAGGACTAGTACTTCACTGGTTAAAATTTGACTGGTCAGAATTGGACATTTGCTTGCATCGAAAATGTCAGCTGCGACCAGTCCTCAAGGAATCGGTCTAGTGATAGACGAAAAGGACAGTTTGGCAGTGACAGGGTGGTGTTGTCCTGCAATTCAATAAACAACAGGCAACATGGTTATAAAATGATTTTTTTTTTTGTTTCCGAAATATGAAAAAGCATCTGTGAAATGCAGAACGCAATCCTGTTCCAACCAAAAAAAAACTCTCCAAAATTGGACTCGTCCAGGACTATCTTACGGTCAGTGTTGATTGAACCGGTCCTCTTCCAATGACACACCAATGCTAAAAATGGCAGTTGAATCCATTGGCAGGGGAATTATGAGGGACTAGTGCTGGTAACAATAGGGACACTATCTGAGGGCTAACCTAGGGTGAAACTGAATTGCTGCAGGGAAATTCCCTGCAAAAAATGCGACTAATCCGGGATGACTACGGGAGCAATCGCAAAGGAACATGCGACTAATACCACTTTTGATCTCTTTATATGGAATGAACTGTTCGCTTTTGTTGGAGCATGTCTTATGAAGGGACTAATTGTTTCCCTTTATATCCGAATGGATATAAAAGGCGACTAGTCACTTTTAAAAAATAAAAATAAAAATTTGCGCCTGCTGCGATTCGAACCGGAGCTCACAGTTTTGTCAAGTGAATACTCTCTCTCTGTGCCAATGCCGCACACAATTATTAAATCGTTAATATTTAGTACCCGTTAGAAATGAGTCGGGGACTAATTGATCTCCTATTATACCCGTAAGGGATGAGTCGAGACTAATTGATCCACAATAATACCCGTATGGGAATAGTTGCGACTAAATAATGCCCAATTGTACCCGATTGAAAATAATCTTGGGTATACTATCTTTAGTAAATTCTTTTTTTTTTTTTTTATTTTGTACCAGAGCTTTTTTTTTTATTTCTTTTTTTCTGTGTCAAATTTAACGTTTTTTTAAATTAAGATTGAAAACACATCGTCGGGTTGAAACCTACAGCGAATGCAATTTAACCAATTTTAAAAGAGAGTCAAGGAAAAGACAAAGTGTAACATTTTTTTACAAAACCTCTTGATTTTTTCTAATAAGCATTATGGCAAATTTAATAGTAAATTTGACAATTCAGTTTCTAAAAAATTTTTCGAGACATTCGCTATTTTAGAGGCTTTTCCCTAGTTTAAGTGAATAACTTAAATGAATTCGATTAACATTTTTCGCAGTAAACTCATTTCATCTAGTAGAATGCCGTAACTTAATGCAGTCTCAACTCCGCTCAAGAAATTTTTTTTTTCAAAATGGGGGAATTTATTTAAAAAGATGTAAAACAAAAAGTGTGCATCACTCACACGCGAACGCCTACCAGCGGTACCACCGCCAACAACAACAAACACTCAAATGTGAAAACCTACCTACACCACTTTTGGCAGCAGCAATAAATTCCAAATTCGATGGCTTTGCAAGATAAAAGCAAAAATAGTTCAATGCAAATGCGTAAGCGTGTGCCAAAGTGTTAACATTATTTTAGCCCGCAGATTTAAAAATAATCGAAAGCCGCACATCTTTACCGTTCTCACACTGCATTTTGCATTACAGTAGCTGGCACAATATTTACCAATGGAAATTTTTCTTTTGATTTACTTAGTAAGATGCACTTAAAGTAGACTGAAACTTAAAACGTGTAATTTTGGTTATCCACTGCATTTAGCGATAAGACGCCTACTGATAGAACGTTGCTACTCACGGTGTGGATAGTGGTAAAAAATACATTATATACAAAGTATGGATGTAAATACAGACATATATACATATGTGTGCCTGTATATGAAGCTAGGGATTTTTAACTTTGAAAATACGGCCAGTGATTTTAGCAAGCGGAAGCACTTAGCGATACTTTATCGCCCGAATTTTTTTTATATAATAGTCTTGCAGCACTCCTTATCATTAAGTGGGTGTGAGGTGCAAAAAAGGAAGTACCTACCTTTTAGGCCCTTTACTTGCTTATCTTTGAATTTTTTACATATGCATGTTTTTAAAGGCAAACATTCAGTAGGTTTAATTAACCTACAAGTTGGGAAGAAAAAATCGCTTTTAGCAAAACTAATATCTAACATTTTTAATAAGCACGCCTATAATTAACGTGCGCCCAACTTTCCAACAAATGACTATTATTGTATTTTTCCGTTAATTTTGATGTGAATATTTTCAAAATTACATTTTGCACTACTCACCTTTTTCATGATGCCAGTTTTGCGTTTTGAAAATGTCGTATATCTACGCAATTTATTATCTATATATTCCATTTTGATTTTGACTCGCCCTTTTGTTTTCTTGCCATTGGCAGGAGGTGATTTTTTATTTTGCAACGCTGTGTAGCTGTCGTCCACCACATCGGGCACATTGCCACTCTGCTGTTGCTGTTGTTGTTGTTGTTGCTGTTGCTGTTGCTGCTGTGCACTTTGTTGCCCACTGCCTCCAACACAATCAAGTCCTTGTAACGCTTGTGATGACATACCCGCAGCACTACTACTACGATGATGATCTTCATAGCAATCAGAGCCAGCGCGTTTGATACCACGCTGATGGCTCGTATTACCGCCCGCACTATTGGATGTGCCAGTAACCAAGGATTGACACTGTGAGCTGTTGGGCATGAGGCCACTCGAACGGGAACTGAATCCTATGCCAGCGCCACCGCCCATCGGCTGTATGAGTCCGCCCGATGGTGGTCGACCGCCGAGCGCACTAACAGCCGCTGGATTACCACCATAGATATCGGCCTGATCGGCCAAACTCAGGCCGATGCCGCTCATGGGGTAATTGAGGTTATAGCGCGAGTCACCTCGCGTAGGATCCATTCTAAGGTAGAAGTTCTCCACCGTGACGATTTTATGTTTTCACCTTTTTTAAATAACACACACGGAAGCAACTGCTGTTGTATAGCCGTTGCTGTTGTAGACGCCGTTTCGGTGCTGCTGTATCGCAGTAATTATTAGCGAATCAGGAACGCTTGCGATGGCGGCGGCGGTCAATATCACACGGCACGGCACGGCACTGAAAATGACCACTTCAATACCACTTTCTTTCGTATCAACACTAAATTTGATCAGATCGCAACACAGGGAATGTTGCTCTTGTCGGTGGCTGCCTATTGAGGCCTGTGCAATACAGCAAACACTTGAATTCCAAAAATAAACACAAATACGCACTTTTGACACTTTTTGAGGGAATCTCGGATCGTATAGAATCGAATCGGATAACACCAAAAGCAGGCGGACGAGACAGCTGCACGCAAATGTCAAATTAACGCATGTGGCTCGCCGAACTGCCTGCACATTTGATGACTGCCTCAGGAGGAATTCACACACACATACACACTGCCAACGTGCACGTCGCGTAGATATGCGATTCCTATTTTTAATTTCAAAAACTTTTATTTAAATTAACATAAATTCCAAACGACCGTGTAAAATTTGGCAATCCGGACTATTATTTTCTTCGATTCCTTTTAGGTGCCAAAACAGCTGTTCGTTTTTGACAATGCAGCGGAAGTACAGGGCGTACTAGAGTCAGTGGTTTTTAATGCTTTTTCAGTGTTGCAAAGTGCTCGTGTGCCATACGTAGAAAATTTATGCAATTATAACAAAAAAATGCCACAATTTATTATGCCGGTTCAGTTGAAATTTTGTGTGCAAATGCATTTATTTTTATTTATTTTTTTAATATCCTCCAAAAATGTTGATAATGATTCCATAAGCTGTGCTGCCGCCACTGCTATCTGCTGCTGCTACTATTACTGCAAAACCAAACGCCGCCAAACAACTGATAAGGAGTGTTTCCTATTTTGTACGCTCACTCGTTGGCAAAAAATACGTAAATTGCGGAACTATCGCTTGTAACAGACAAATATGAATTGATCTAAGCGTTTATGTCGTTATTGCGACCACCTTGATGTTCTCTAGATGGAGGCGCGCTACCGAATAAACTCGCTTTCGATCGCGCCACATAGCACGACCGTTTTTTTATTTTTCTTTGCTGCATTACGCCAAAATGGAGAGCTGCTCCAGCGCATGTACTATTCTAGTTTGGAGCACTAACGAACCAGCCGGAGCGCCGCCAAGAAAGCCAGCTATGCTACACGATTGCTTCATAATGCTTGCTTGCTCTTGGATTGGAGAGCCCAAATGTGTAGACTTTTTGCACTCTTTCAAGTCGGCCAGCTGAGTTTTCATTCGCTGATCAAGCTGTTTACCTGGCTCTCTGACTAGCCGATAAGTCGAACTTCATTCATAGCATTGTTTTTGTTTTCGTGCATTTTTTGTACTTTGCTTTTTTGGTATTGGTTTCTCTTTAGGCATTCACGAATATTCAAAATGTTCAAACCAGACTTTAATTAACTATTACTGCCAATGAAGGTCTTATCTTTTACAATACACGAATATGTACTCATACCCACACACGACAGTTAGTTGAGCGAGTGAGTGTCTATGGCGTGCGCGCGCGCCCGATTTTGATTTGATTTGTTTATTTATAGTAGAACATGTACGTATGTTTGTTTGTTGTACATATGTATGTATGTAAAAGTAAGTAATCATAACTTCGGCTCAGACTTTTACGGTGCTATTGGTTGGTCAATAGCAACAAACTCCTCCCATTGTAGGAATGCCGTGCCGCCGACATTGTTTTGTGTACTATTTGGTATTATTATGAGTGATCGCTTGGAGACCAGTGTGTGAGCAATGCGCTCCATATGCAAATGAATGCCAGCAATTTTTCATATTTACACTTTAAGAAAAGGAAATTATTACCGTAATTTAAGCATTTTAACTCGTTTAATAAATGTTTTAATGCCTTGCTTGTGATTGATTGGGCTCTTGTGCGGTGGCGAGCGTGCATATGTTTGCANTAAGAAAAGGAAATTATTACCGTAATTTAAGCATTTTAACTCGTTTAATAAATGTTTTAATGCCTTGCTTGTGATTGATTGGGCTCTTGTGCGGTGGCGAGCATATGTTTGTACAAATATGAGTATGTTCAGGAAAAACTTGTTAAGCGAAAATTTTCCTTATTTTATTGTATATATATCTTATTCTAGTTACGGAACACGTAAGACCTTTTCAGCGTTTTTGTAGGTGTTCAAACGTGTGGAATTCATCTAAAAGGAACTGTTGCCACAACAATGCGTAAAATGTCGATCATAGCCAAATTAAAAACGCACCTGCAATTAGATATGGCAAACAGCACACGTGATTGTATAGATATACTGGCAATAAGCGAGTTAATGCAATAAAATATACAATGTATACATACATTAATGATAAACGCACAGACAAACAGTGACTGGCAGAAATGATCGCAAAAAGGATCATATAATGGAATTTAAAGCCTTGCAACGGGATGATAATATTGCATACCCAACAATTTTTATGTAATTGGTAAAGTTTGTCAAATTTTTATAATTTTTGTATAAGATTTGAAATGTGGATTTATATGGCGATAGTTAAATAATGCCCTGGACGTTTATAAATAGTAAATAAATAAAAATAAAAAANACAATTTTTATGTAATTGGTAAAGTTTGTCAAATTTTTATAATTTTTGTACAAGATTTGAAATGTGGATTTATATGGCGATAGTTAAATAATGCCCTGGACGTTTATAAATAGTAAATAAATAAAAATAAAAATAAACGAAAAATAGCCAAAACTTTTCAAAATGTCACTGAACTTAATCAGCTGGCCATAAGTGTATATATGGACTTGATCCTAAAAATAAATTTCGCCAAAGAATTTTCTCAAAGTAAAGTAAGCCGTATTTTTCATGATTCGGCTTTGGCCAACCGTGAGGCCGTTTTTCAATCCGACGAAGCGTGACGACAGAGTCGAAATATCTTTTGGCGACCACGCCTCGTCGGATCCGAAGCGATGTGCGAGCTATTTTAGCCGACAGTTCACACGGCATCCTCCGGCGGACAAAGCCAAGCGCCGAGTGACTAGAAGGCTGCACAAACTGCCAATACCCAGTGCGCCATCGCGAAGGCGAAAGCCTCCAAAGTCATTGGACCCGACGGAATTTGCATGCTGATGCTGAAAAATTTGGATCCTGTGGGAGTAGACCAACCAACCAAGGTCCTCAACCTGGCTATGGCCACTCTCATCATTCCAGACATCTGGAAAATGGGAATAGTGGTCCCATTGCTTAAACCAGGGAAACCGTCCAACAAAGGAGGGTCCTATCGTCTGATAACTCTCCTTTCCCCGGTAGCGAAGACACTACCCTTCTATTCTCGCACTTAACAAACCACCTGACCCCAGCGAGGCATCAGCATGGGTTCCGTAAATTACACAGCACAACAACAGCCCTTAACTCCATATACACTTAAATACATAACTCGTGGCCTTAACCGAACCCAATCCTGTGAGAGAACAGTTCTAGTAGCATTGGACCTGTCAAATACGTTTGACACCGTCAGTCACTCCACGCGACTAGAAGACAAAAGGGCCACCTCTCTCCCACAGGGACTTAAACGGTGGTCGGCGAGTTATCTGAGTGGTGGACACTCGTCAGTAATTTTTAGAGACAAATCGGCAAGCCCAGAAGAATAAAAAATGGGATCCCACAGGGTGGTGTCCTTTCCCTACTACTGTTCGACTTTTATATTTTTAAGCTCCCTCAACCACCAGAGGGAGTCTCGATTGTCTCTTATGCTGACGATTGAGTATTCACGTCGATTACGAACCAATCCCGAGGGTGAATAACCCGAATATACTCGGAGTAACCTTCTACAGTCTGCTCTCCTTCTCGGCACATACAACCGCAATTGTCAACAAAGTACAAAGCCGCAACAAGGATCTCAAGTCGCTAGCCTGCCGCACCTGGAATAAAGGCAGATAAAAGTTGCTGGCAACCTGCAAGCAAATTGACCCTCGTCACGGCACATCAAAGGGCATCTATGTATACGAGCTAACGGACGTAGTCTAGAGGTTCATAAAGCAGCCTCTAGACCCGACAGCATACCGACAGGCCTTAAACGGCAATCACAGGGAGTGATTCAAGAGTTATATACTCTCGACCTATGAATGCCGTTCTGGGCACACAACCAAAAGAGGTGGACGAGACAGAGCTTCGTCTGCCTCGGGAGACTCGAACCACAATAGCCCAACTTTGCTCTGACTACTACAGCAGGTTTAACTTGTACCTGAGCAGAGGAAACGCAGATGTGCCGAACGAGTGCCCAGCATGCAGAGGGGCGTCCCATGACTCGCGACATCTCTTCGCATGCACACTGAACGCAACTCTACTAATGCCTCTGCCCTTATGGACAGGTCCTATCGAAGCTGCACGCTTTTTGGGTCTCCCGTTGGTTGAGCTTCACGAAAATGATTAAGGGACTTACCGATCTGGGCGGGGTTGTTGTAGCCGCTACAACAAGAAGGGACGAGTTGCTGATATTGGCGAGGAATAAAATGATGGCTTGAGGAAATGATGAGGAAATACATTTTTATCAACCGCTCAAACTGTTCGAGGTAAAGTGCCATGGCCATTCCAGCCAAATCTAAACACTTTGAGTTACTGTTTCATATACATATGTATGTAAGTTAGTATGTATACGTTATGGTATGCACTATGTCCGAGTACTTACACATATATACTACGTACATACGTAACTGCGTTTTTTCTATTTTAAAGAAGTTTTGACAAATCCCACTGGAACATTCCATACCGGATTTTTCTCAGAATCTTCATTTTTTTTGCAAACATTTTCCACTACTGCTTAGTTTTTATTTGTAAGAGTATGTACATACTATGTACGATTATGTATGTATGTATGTATGTGCATATGTCCGTTTGTTTGCCAGTCGAGTGGAGTTTAGTGAGACATACTCGCTGCTGCAGCGTAAATGGCCAGAAATGGTAAAAACATTCGACAGCATTACAACCTCTGGAGGATTTGCGTAATGTATCATTATACACGTACGAGTACGAGTACGTCACCAATATGCGACGAGGAGCTCGTCGACAAACACACGCGCCACACTCGATCCGAGGCTGCTATGGACTTTTCATGCCACCAAGTGCAACGCGCAAATATTCGTCCTCAAACAGTCGGACTGACGACAGTGGCGATGACGATGACGACGACGACGACAACGACATTCAAGTGGAAGTTGACGTTGGCAAGATGATGAAGAAACAACAGCAGCAGTAACACATCAGTAATAACAAACATACTAGTCGATATTAAAGTCAAAAATCACCGTAGAAGTTGCGTATCGTCTAAAGAATTCGTTATGCTCATACTAACGTACATACAAAATACATATACATATGTATACATATGTACATACATTCGTACAAGTCGGCGCAAATGCGCGTTTGTCTATAGAGTTATAAACGTGAAGAAACACATTCTGTATCCCGAATGATCATATAAAGTAGTATTTCCCCAGCTATTGACTCTAGCCACAGTACAAGACAGCCAGCTCAGTCGGTGCACTGCGGCCTGTTGGCTTGGCCTGCCTTACATCCTTAAATAGGAAATATTTTCAGTCCACGTGCAGTGACTATCTACGAGGAAGCAAGCTACACTCGGAGCCTAAGCGTCGTCTAAATTCAAGTATGCGAGAATATGAGTTTGTTGCTCAAGCCGTGTGTGTGTGTGTGTGTGTTTGTGTGTGTGTGCAACACCGGTCATGACGACTTCGCATACTACTAGTCGTTGGACTGTTTAGACTGTTTGGACTGCTATGTCATCACAGTTATTGCTCCCTGATGATAATCACTGCATTCCAACAAACAACATGTTTCAGTTTGTATAAAAGATCGCTCTTGTGTGCACTATAGATAGATACTATAGCCATTATGGTAGATTCTATGCTGCTCCTGTTCACATTGACACTGCAACTTCACAGGCTGGCATGTAGACAAGAAGGCAGAAGGCAGGCTAGCAGGCGGGCAAGTACAACTAGATTTGTACCCCTAGATGCTCACCACCGGCACCCCCATCGCCAATAGCAGCGAATAGCTGATGTTGCAGCAACACCAGACTGTCTAACGACAAGCTATGTATGTATGTATATGCACTGCTAACCTTGCCTCCTGTGCCACCCTGCTGATTTTTCAACTTTAGTGTACGCATTTGTATGTCCGTCCATCGATCGATCGATCGAATGTGCCGATCAAGCCGATCGATGGCTGCCTAACTGGCTGCCTGGTTGGCTAGCTTGCTAGCTGTTGCGCTGATCGACTGCTTACCAGATTGGTGGTTAGCTTAAAGTGAAGATGGCAGGCTAGCTAGCTAGCTGGCTGACTGTATGGTTTGTTGGCGATTAGAGTGAGCGGTTGGCGGTTGGCGGTTGGCGGTGGTGATGGTGCTGATGGCAGTTGTGATGCATATTGGTCGCATCATCACTCCAAATGGAATTTTACCTTTTACGCCAAGTGAACGACATACTTGCACAACGTCGCCAGCATGTCTTCCACTGAAAAATTCAGAATCGCTTTGTAAGTGGCTGGTGAATTTAATTAAATGAAATACCTTCTTGGGATATCAATTATTTGAGTTGTCGGCGGTCAAGCGGTAAGCAAACATACTTGTACAGCAATACATATGTACATACGTATGTGTATGTACAACACATACGTAAATATAAAAGTACATACTGCACTTTAAGTGAGTAAGCTGCAAGCGAGCACGGTGGCAGGAGTTGTTGCACTTAATGGTTACTAATGAGAAAAGTTAAACGTTATGATTGCCTAAAAGATCACTTACATTACTTCGGTAAGTAGTCATACATATCTACAAAGATATAAACCCACATTTTCATGGTTATCTAGTAACTTACGTACTTGCAAACTTGCATGCTTCTTCAGTAGATTCATCACTACATAAAACATTTGTCTTCTTATATGCACATACATACATACATACATTAGTATGCAGGCATGTGAGCAAAAATGTTTGAAATGTTGGCATTTCAAGAATTTATTCTAATATTAGGTATGTAAACTTAATTCCATAGAGTCTTAAAGGAATTCTAAAGGCTTGTTAAAAGTTGAAATGTTGTCTGCCTATTGCTACCATACTATTTTTTATCTGAGTCAAAATGGCGGTTAGAAGTTGAGTGGTAGAAAAAGGATTTCGTATAAATGCATATGTACATATGTATGTATAACGTTTGAAGTTAATATTTTTTTTAACTGAACTAGGCAACTAAAG